TTCCCTTTTTCCAACCCTTATCAGATAATATGGCATGAGTTTGTGTTTTTTATTGGTATAGTAATATTTCTATGCTGATTTGTTTTAAATTTCAAGTGTAAAGCCAAGACTAATTAACTTCAGTTTAAGATTTCGTGTGATCTGCTGGTTACTGTTTTTCATATCTTTTTTCCTGGAGGTTTCTCTTTTAAAACACCTTTGGAGTTATCTGAAAATAATGCTTTGCAGATGAGTTAGTCCAGCTATTCAGTTGAAGTTTTTATGCAGTAGCAATTCAGTGCTCATAAATACACTGCTTCTGTGGATGCAAGGATGCCCAACAGAAATTAATCTTCATCTTCTGTTACAGGTCCTTCAAAAGGACCAACTGTTCAGACAAAAAAAGTAGGAAAAGCTGAAGCTGTTTTGACGTGGAACCATCTCACAGTGGATGAACAAAATGGATTTATCAGAAGTTATACCATATTTTACAAAACTATCGATGGAAATGAAACAGGTAACAGAAAGCAGAGGAGTGCTTTGTGGCATTGAAGTATTCCATCTGTCTCCTTAGTTAGGTGTTCCGGAAAAAAAAGAGAGAGAATCGAGTGTGGCTGACAATCTGTTCTGATGACGTAAAGCTGTTATCTGAGGCATAGCTCTGCTCCATACTGAACAGAAAAGTCTGTAATAAAGAATTCAGAATATGCACTCTGTGTATAACAGGGTACTGAGTTTAACTCCTGAAAGCTGATTTGCAGGTATTGTGCTCCCATCTTTCTACCTAAATACAGAACGAGATAGTGGTATAGTAAGATGAATCTAGACCATTCAAGATGTAAAGGGCTTAACTGTATTTAACAATGGTAAAGCCTTAAAAAAAAAAAAAAAAGTATCTTTAATCCTCCTGGAGCTCCTGATCAGGATGTTACTGATATAAAACATTTGTTTGAAGTGCATATTTGTTCTCAGTAGTGTGTATGACCTGCAGGCATAGGACAGGGAGCTAGCACTATCAAAAGTTTTCTAGGCTTGCTTCATTTGGAAGGGACAATTACTTACGCCCATTCTACTTTTTATTCTAGTTAATTGTTTTTTTCTAGTTAGTAACTAGCTATTTATAGTTAGCTATGTATTCTGCTTATTAGAGACCTTTAAGCCTCAACTGTGCTACTAGTTTAGTTTGTAAACTTCTGGAGGGGAAGAAAAAGCACAGGAAATTAACATATAAAATGTCATCAGAGTAAGTTCAAACACTTGAACAGAAGCAAACGAATCTCAGCATTTCTTGTACAAGTTTGTACTCTTCCTGTGTCTGTTGTGTTTTCCATAGAGCCGTGCGTTTTACTAAAACCATCTTGTAGATTTGAAGACATGATGTCCTAATGCTGTTGTGTTTGTGGAGTTCTAATAAATTGTACAGAAAACTAGTGTAATTTTTTTCCTTTCTTTAGCTGTGACAGTGGATCCTTCCAAGACAGAGTATACGCTTTCTTCTCTAACCAGTGACACACTGTATACTGTGCGGATGATGGCATACACAGATGAAGGAGGCAGGAGTGGTCCTGATTTTACATTTACTACACAGAAGTTTGGTAAGGAAGAGTGGCACAATTAGTAGAAGTAGGAAGTAATGTTGCAACTATGCAAGATCTGATATGAGGGGAAGGGGATTTTATTTAAAAGAAAAAAGTTTCACTTGCAATCATACTCATAAGGTGCATGATATCCAGGTAGCCTGTCTAGTACTCAGTCACAAAGAGGTAGTTTAGTCAGGATTTCTTCTAATTGTACACAGGACAAGCTATCTTCTGCAGGTCTCCTGGATTGCTCTTTTATGTTGGCAAACATGCTAGTTTTGGGTATGTTTTGTGTATGCTTCAGGTTATAGTATTATTTTGCCCCAACTTTGTGTGAGTCATTAGTATTTACTCAGTGCCTTGTCTTCTCCTCTGGTGACTGGTGGCTCCTACTGTGGTCTTAAAGAGTCCAGAGTCTTTGTTTTAATCTGAAGTTAGGTTGGCCTTTATTATCCTGATAGGGGTGTCCTAAGAAGCTGCAGAGGTATGCTGGAATCTTGATCTGCTAATCTAGGTGCCAGTCAGCACATGCTGTTCTTACAACCCTTTCTCAGGTTCAACATTCTCGTTTATATCACTATTAAAGTTTGCTACAGTTCTCTACAGAGACTCATTTTAAATGTATTTTATGTTCAGATTTAGAAAGTGCTTCCTATTTGTAATGTTAAGAGCAACAACATTAACTGAGCTTAGTTGTGGGAAGCACTTCCTTAGATTTAGCAGGATTTGTTTTGTTTTTTCTGGATAATGTTGCTCTTCCCTAAGTATTCTGTAAGGTTTACTTAAGAATGTGTATAACATTGAAAGGGATAACAATAATGCAACTGTAAGTGTTTGCAGGCGGAGGATGTTTTTGTCTACAGAATAAACTGATGGATGACTAGTGACTTTGTTTGCATTACTTATTTGACCATGATGTTGTTATGGCAGCCAGTAGGCCACTGAAACACCTGGACCACAGATGAATTCACATAGATGTTGCTGTCATATCTGCCCAAACTGTAAAATTACTTGCTCTGTCAGTATTACAGCTTCTAGAGCAACCTGGGATTTTTATTGATGCAAGGCATTAGATTGTTGGGACAGAGCTTTTCCTGTTTTTACTAACATGCTCTTTTCATATGGTGAAAAGGTTCTTCTCAAGGTGAAGCTTAAGACTGAGCACTTCGAGTGTATTCAGTTTCAGATTCTCCCTGTCCCTTTGGGGATATAGGCTGCTGCTGAGTTCCTTAAATGCCAAAGTGGGCTGTAACTGCTTCTCTCCATTTTCTTCAGGGAAAGGAGAAATTGAAGCCATAGTTGTACCTGTGTGCCTAGCGTTCCTGTTGATTGTGCTCCTTGGAGTTTTGTTTTGCTTCAACAAACGTGACTTGTAAGTATAAATTAAGTCTTTCTCTTACGCTGCTGGTATTTCTGGGTGTAACAAAGAGATGGCAATAAGTCAATACAAACAAGAAAATATTCTGCAGTTAGATCAGAAAAAGAAGGTAAAACATGCATACATTGATTGGTGATAAACATATTTGTGTTTTTCTTGAGAAATCAGGTCTTCCTCTGATAGTAATTTCTTACTGTTAACAATTAGCACACAAGCTAAATATTCCATGACTCAATCCTGCAGGGAAATTCCTGCTTTTCTTGCCAGAGTTGATCAGGATTAGGTTTGTTAAGTTGTTATCAGAATATACTGTGTTGTTTTCTTAGTCATCATATGACAGTGGAATGATGGTCCCTAGTTTGTGAAGCACAGATCTGTTTCCTGGCTGTATTTGAGCTATTTGATTACAGTGTTAGCAAACTTTAAGCTTTACAGCCAGCCAGAAAAAATAGGCAGACATCTTACTTACCTACCTTATATAACCTCAGACAAACTCTGTGCCTGTTTAGTATCTGCTGGGAAACATCCTGCCTCCTGCTGCTTCCTCTATCCTGGAATTCTTGTCTGTGGCTTTAGCTGAGAGCTTATTGCTGAAGTGTTTTCCCTGGCAAGGAGTAGCATCTCTCCCATGTCTCCATCTTTTCTTTCTAATTAAAGAGAGCATTTTTTGCCCATTTCCTTCTGACCTCCCTGCTGCCGCTAAAATGAGTTGTTAATGGATGTCAGTTGAAAAGCCCATCTTGCTGTGTTTTTCAGAGTTCTCCTGGATCTGTTGTTGAAACCTGTTTATAAAGAGCAGGATAGATGCATCAGTTTCAAAGTTAGTTTGGTTGGGAGTGATTTATCTACAGAAACTTCTGTTGTTAAGTAATAGTTACTACATTCTTAAGAGTTCAGAGTTACAAAAGACAAAGCAAGTATTTCTTCAAGTATTTTCACTGTATTTTTAGCTGTGAAGTTGGCTTAGATTTTGACAGCTGTGATATTCATAGTTATCTTGAAGCGATGATGTATTTTTGTAGTGACATGCATCATAGACTTTACCTAAATAATTGCTCTGTAGATTCTAGAGTGCTATAAATTTGAAAATTCCTCACTAACTGTTACCATTTGGTTTGCTTTATATTGGATGGCTACATCTAATGCGTGAAGGAGTTAAGTGCAGTGGTGTGTTTTGCTAAGTAGTACAGCTTCCTGCAAAGATGTAAAGTAGTACAGGAAGCATTCCTATTTGAAAGTGAATAGTCTTGCAAAATTGCTCTGTAAGGGAGTCGTGTCCTGGATTACGCAGTACTTCCTATCAACGTAGGAATTTGGGGAGTGCATCTTGTAATTTTATTCTGTTTTTAATCCTTTGCAGAATTAAAAAGCACATCTGGCCTATTGTCCCTGATCCATCCAAAAGTAACATAGCTCAGTGGTCTCCTCAAGTTCCAGCTAAGGTAATACTCATCTTTCTGCATCCTGTATTTTCCTAGTCCATAAGGTTTCCAATAAACTAACCAGTGGGAGCCTTCTGTCTTCTCACACACATGGATTTCAAGGAAGAAAAACCTATATGTTAAGTTTCATGACATTGTGATACGATATGGTTAGAAGACTTTATTGCAGCAATAGATTCAGCATTAGAAATACATGGCCCTTAGCACAATTTCACAGCATGGAGCAGGCTTTAACATTGTGAATTATATCCAGTTTACTAGTTGGAAGGGTCAAATCCTAATTATTTTATTCATTCATGAGAAATCAGGATTAAGTAAACAGAACTCATGATGCTCATTCTTAAAACCCTGAAGTGACTTGTTTGCACAGTTAAGTCATCAATAAGACAGAAAGCTCTAAGAGTTCCTCATGGATGAGGAGATGGCAGCAAAATTTTGTGCCCCATGTGGGGTAAATGATGAAGCAAATTCTGTTCTCTAAACTGTGGCTAACTTCTGTGAAGAAGTGCTGTGACATTGAATATGTTATTGGAAGTAATGTATGTATGGCCTCAGTATAGAATGTTCCTGTGCTGCACAGCAAATAGTTCTGTGTTTACAGCTTTGAAGAATAATTAAAATCAGAGCAAAGCCTGCACACCCACTATGGTTTTGGAATAGCTGCATAATTAAGACTTTGTATTGGAAACAAAGCTACATCCTTCATTTTATAACAAATACCTTGGAGATATTGCCAAACTTAGTAAGGAGAAAACTTACATGAAGAAACTCGAAACAATTACAGGGTAAAAATTCAGATATTTAATGTTTTGTTTTATTTTTAACATAACTTTCCTCTTAGGCAACATCCATCTCTTTCTTTCAGCATAACTTTAGTTCCAAAGATCAGATGTACCCAGAAGGCAGCTTTACAGATGTAAGCGTCGTAGAAATAGAAGCTGATGACAAGAAGTCTTTTTCAGAGCAAGATCTAAAACCCTTTGACTTGCTTAAAAAGGAAAAAAGTACTTCAGAAGGGCACAGCAGTGGTATTGGAGGATCCTCGTGCATGTCTTCTCCTAGGCAAAGCGTATCTGACAGCGACGAAGGTGAAACTACACAAAACACTTCAAGCACTGTACAGTATTCAACTGTAGTACTTAATGGCTACAGAGACCAAACACCTGTACAAGTCTTTTCAAGGTCTGAGTCCACTCAGCCACTGCTAGATTCAGAAGAGAGATCAGAGGATCATGCTGGAGGAGGTGACAGTACAACACAGGGGCAGCAGTATTTCAAACAAAATGGTGGTCAGGATGAAACCAACACAGACAGGCCATGCTTTGAAAGAACAAAGCAAATTACTCCTGCTAATGAGGGGGATCTTGTTGGATTTGTACAACTGCAGATCTCAGGTCAGAGTTCACAGCCACTGGGCCTTGGGTTGGAAAAAAATACCCAGGAAGCCGCACTGTCACATGTTTTACAGACAAGTACTGAAGGACAAACTGTGAGACCTGAAACAGTGGAAAGAAATCCACTGTCAGTTGATGAAATGCCAAAAAGTTACCTCCCACAGACTGTGAGACAAGGGGGCTATATGCCTCAGTGAGAGAAGAGACTGGCTCTGTTTAGGCCTTCGTTAGTGCCTGTTCACACTTTCTCCTGTGTTTCTGATAAATTAAGCTAGGTATTTTTATCTGAGTGCAGATAGAAATACTGAAATTAAGCGAAGAGCAATTTGACAAAGTACAGTAAGGACTGTTTTTGTGGAAAATTTGCAGTCCAGACCTACCGGAGACTTACTTCTATGCACTACATAAAATCTTATGTCTGGATAGCTTTGTGCTACCTTGGGTTTTTTGTGTCTTGCCATATCAGATTTACACATGATTGAAAATGGCAAGTTTCAATTAATCACATGAGCCAATAGACTTCCTAGAAGAAATACTTTGATTTGTGACAGTGTACAAGCCTAAAAAGCCAGCTTTAGTTGCTTGGAGCATCTTTGTGCAAAAGTAAGACTGAAGCTTCGTATTCTAATGTGGAAGAATACTTGTGTCATATACTACTTTTCAGTAGCTTGACTGACACTCTGAATTTTGACTTGGCCCAGTGTCTCAGTTTCCAGCTTACCAGACATGCAAATCATGTTGATCCCTGTTTAAAAATTATAAAAATTAAATAGAACTCTCTATGGTGTGCAAATAAGCAAACACCATGATTCTTGACTCTGAATGCTACTATGAATAATATTCTGCCTACATTTAGATATGCATGCACATGAACTATATAATAATTTGGCCTAAAAATGTGCCTTGCAACTTGATGCACAGCAACTCAGTCTCATGTTCAAAAGTTTAAAAATCCAGAAGAAAATGCAAATTAACAGTTATTTAGAGGTTTTGTACCAAAATCACTGTCTGATTATGCCATGCCTCTCTGGTCATATAAATTGCCTTTGTTTAATAAGTGCATCTTTGCTGTATACAGCTTGAGAGGCAAGTAACGAGCTGTAAGTTTTTACCATTTTTCTAACTGTGCAGGAGAAAGGGAATATGACCTTCTTCCTGATTGACTGCGATGATTAGTGTGCTGTAACCTCACTGCTAATGCTGCAGGGCCTCCTTGAAACTGGTAGCAGCAAAAAAACCAAAGCATTGAAGTCATTGAAGCTCTCGGAGTTAAAAACAAAACCTGTACCCTGAATTTGAACGTTACTGGTAGTATGTATCTATTAGCAATCATGAGCCACAAGTAACACTTAGGTGTTTGTTAAAATTCCTGACTTTTTTCTTATGTCTCACTTTTCCCATGTTCATATGGATTTTATTGAAAAAGATACATTTCTTGGAGACTCTCTCTACAAGGGTTTAAAGAAAAATGAAATTACGTTAAAATAAACCCCTTCTCCAGTGATAACCTAAAAGGGTGCCATAAAATTTCTAGTTATTTTTTTAACCTTAGTGTAGTCCGCTTTCTAATCCGACACTAATACAACCTTAATTCAAAACACTAAATGCTGTGTTGTGAGAATAAAACAAAGGTTTTATTCCTCCTTCAGCAAAAGAGCTATGTATTTAAGACCACCTGAAACCTTTTGTGCTGTGACCTCTGGTGCTGCTGTTCTGCAAAGCACTTGCTAAAGGCCCTGGAAAGGCAGGTGTCAGTATCATTTCAACTTGCCTTGTCCTTGTGTGCCAGCTTGCATGGAAGGACAGGTATACATATAAATATTCACATGTGTCTTCTTTTGTTACAAAGAAATTCAATGCTAGAGTAAATTTCTAAGATTACCCCTTGAAGTCTGGACTATTTAAAATAGATAAAGAGTGCAGAATCCTTAATGACATTTCAGTATTCCACAGTTCTTTTCTCCCAACAATACTTTTTGTATCTGAGCACTTTTTTAAACTAAATGGGGATCTTGCAGCTTACTGTATCTAAACCTTTCTTCAAACCAGTCCCCTTCCTTTCCTCCCAACTCCACCTCAGCACCTTCAAACCCCTTCTCAGAGGGCAACGACATAATGAAAACTATGCTGTCATATGACAGCAGAGACCGTCTTTTGTTTTTTCAGAGGTTGAAGGAGCATTCCTTTGTCAGAACACATTCCTCTTGGAAAATAATAGCAGTTACTTTACTGGGGGGTGGGTTGTCTTCCCTATGCAAACTTCACATTGACTGTAGAAACCACAAGTAAAAGGGAAAGTCTCTGTTGAGCAGTGTGCGTACTTATTAGAACTACCCTGCAGTGCATCTAACCCACCTCCTGCTTGTCTCCGAAATACTGTGAGCCACAACCTGGCTACTTGCTCTGAACATTGCTTCATAGGCCTGGATGTTTTCAAAAATATGCTGATTATTTCTTTTTCTTTTTTTTTTTCTTTCTGTGATCCAGTGATACTAACTTTTGATTGCATGTGTCATATCTGAGGGACAACCTCAGTTATTCCTGAAGTTGCTATTTGCCTTTCTGTTCTGTAAAGCAAAGGCATTTTGTTCTCAGTTGCTGTTTATCATGGACCGTTTCCAATGTTAAACAAAGAGCACCAAGAGATTCTCATTTTTTTTAGAGGTCTGTGCTAGCAAGAGTTCTGGCCTGTCACTTCTGGCATCTTTCTTTCTTGTTTATGGGCCAATGGTAATAAACTCACAGAATCTTATAGGAGTGTATGCTAGAGAGGATTCTGTCTTTCTGGCAGAGTTATATTCTATCTTTCAGGCTTGCGCATTTATCTATGCTAAAATACTAAAGACTAAGCAGGAGATATTCATGGGTGAACAGCTTGTAGAAGCCACAATACACATAAATAACAGGTTTACAGCTTGTTCATAAACCTATGTGCCAAATATTACATCATGCAGTGTTCAGGGTTTAATTTGATTTTTGTACTCTGAATCATAACAATCTAATTGTATCAGACAGTTGCATACAGATTTTTAGAGTGTCTGTAGTGTAATTATACCAATCCACTGACATTCTCTGAACTTGGCCCTAACATAGTAATTAAAGATAAAGCTTCCCTCCC